ACACACACACACACACACACACACACACACACAGACACACACACACAGCCTGACACTCATTACAGATGTCGCCCAAGCTTTCCTGAGATAAGCACAAGGGGAACCATCTCCTGGGATTCCGATTTCAGATTTTGTGTCGGGTGGAATGGGAGGCAAGAATGTCTACTGGCCATGGCTGCCCCGGAACACACACACACACACACACACACACACACACACACACACGGCCTGACGCTCATTACAGATGTCACCCAAGCTTTCCTGAGATAAGCACAAGGGGAACCATCTCCTGGGATTCCGATTTCAGATTTTGTGTTCCCAGGGTTCATTTGCAGCTTCCCAGCTTCAGCTGGGAATTCAAACCATGTAATTAAAGAGGAACTGCATTCGGGGCTTGTAATTAAAATAGGTGCCCGTGTGGTTAGGCTGCAGGCTAGTTATTTAAAGAAGGAATTCATGATGAGGCTTCACACTGAAAGCTTCCGATGACACTGGGCTTTTTACAGGCTTTAAAATCCCCACATACTCATGCTGTGCTCTGCTCTTTATCAGTGAGTCTGAAGTCCCAGGACCACCTCTCCTTCATTTATTCCACCACAGAGCTCCCTGGATTTGGTGATTCACCTTCCAAAGCTTTAGGGGCGGCAGAATCTTCTGAAAAGGTGCTACCCTAACACTCACCAGCACGTCTTTCCAGTAACAGCCTATCGTGGTGTACTGGGCTGGGGTCCCTCCGAGTGGATGCCAGAGAGGACTGGAGAGTGGAGTCCCTGGGAGGGGAGAGTCAGGTCAGGAAGGTGGAAAGTCAACCTGGGCACAAGTGGCAGGTCCCTGCTGGGGCACCGGGGCCTCGGGAAGTAGGCTGGGACGACTCTTGGCCCACATTGGCAAGGCTTGCTCCCGTCACTTCTAGACTCGCTGGGGCGGTCTCATGGACACAGATGGTCCTTGGGCCGAGGAGCACAGGAGCTTGGCTGCACCCCACGTGTGAGCATCCTGTTCACGGGGGCAGCAGGTGGCTTCCTGGGACCGAGGGGTGTGGAGGCGCACCGGTCTTGGGTTCTGTGGATGGGTGTCTTTGAAAGCATCTTCTCTGCCGAGAGGGACGCAGTCTGCTCCCTGACCCAACAGTCTCCCAAGGCAGAGAAACACAACAGCTCCGGGTTCAGCCTCGCACTTAGAGCCAGTATGTTAACTGGTGATTGCAACAAAAGAAAAAGAAAAAAGAGTCATTCTGAGAGCAATACAATTCATCTCAACCTGGCAAAGAGTTTTTCGGGTGATGAAACTGTGTTAAAAGTGCAACAGTTCTGGCATCCACAGTGTGACAGGAGGGTCAACTGAGCCAGACCTTCTTAATTCCCTTGACATAGTCTTATTTTTTGACCCAGAAATTTTGCTTCCAGGAATTTATCCACAGACAGTCATCATAAATACAGAGGAAGCAGTCCATCGATGTTATTTAAACCTGGGCTGAATGGTGGATGGGCGGGAAGGTCTTTAGAAGTCTGTTAGGCTTCTCAGTAACAGGAAAGGGTCTCGTTCTCAGGCTGCACTCCCAGGACGGAGTATTACCACCACCTTGGCGGCCTGGGGCTCACAAATAACTTCGTGTCTGGGAAGACATTTAGGATGTGATGTGTCACAAAAGTGGAGAACAGATCTATACATATGTTTTAAAAATATACCACAAAGAAATTGGTGGGAAAGACATCAGAATATTAAAACATACGACTTATTTGTCATTTTTACTGGCATCTTTCATACGATGCTTATCTTTTCTAACTAGAACATTTATTACTTTTACAATAAGAATGATACTTGAAATAATTTTAGAAGACCATACTAACAGTTTTATTTAAATGATACTCAAATCATCTTGCTCTTACTGTTAATGTTTTGTATTTTGACAGACACTTCAATCGTTTGACTCAGGAAAACCTCTTAGCAGTAAAGAAAATATACAGGTAAGGATAATAATATCTTATAAGCACTGGATACTCAGTGTGGATCATGCTTGAGTCATTGCAGTCTCATTGGTTGGTATGCTCCTTGGTCTTGAAAGTCTTCTATGGGACATCCTTTTTTATTTCTGACATGGTGTTTTGTCTCAAAATGCTGTGTCCAGAGGTGGGGCAGGATGAAACGGATCTGGCTGGTGTTCAGTTGGGCTGCCGGGTTGCTGCTCCTGCCTTTCAGTCACAGCCGTGCACTCAGCTTGCCCACCCAGCCAGGCCCAGCATCTTGGAGCTTGGTGTTGACCCTTGGTGTTGACCCTGGCTGGCTTTGCTTGTAGAGGGTTCTGCACGTTGGGCAGCGGCCCACGCATGCAGTCATTTTTTACTTTAGTTTTTGAGTTGGTGTCTCACTCCGTCACCCAGGCTGGAGGGCAGTGGCACGTTCACGGCCACCCAGCGTCCACCTGCGGGGCTCTGGTGATACTTCTGCCTCAGGCTTCCAAGTGTCCGGAGCTATAGGTCCGGGCTACCATGCTGGCTAATTTTGAAAAATTATTACTTACTGTAGAGACAAGCTCTCACCAAGTTGCCTGGGCTGGTCTGGAACCCGCGGGCTCAGGCAATTCTCTCGCCTCGGCCTCCCAAAGTGCTGGGATGACAGGCTGATCCATTGAACCCGGCCTACATGTGGTCATTTTTACCCATACTGTTCCTTCTGAGTTCTGCACCTGTCCACCAGTGGTTTGGGATGTCTTCATTTGGCGTTTTCCTAAGCAGCTGCTCTGACTCTCTGGTATTTTTCACAAAAAGAGGATTAGACGGCCCAGCTGAATCTTTTGGTTCCTGCCACTCATTTAATGATTGGGACTGAAGCCTTTGATGAACTATTAGCGTTTGAGCATCTTGAGATGGTCATTGTAAAAACTTTGGGAACGTGTCCAGGGCCTATGTTATCCCTGTGTTCCTTCATCTAGCCCCAGATGGGCCGCAGAGGGGAGGAGCCCCCCGCCATGTCCAAAATCCTGAGTCTGCCTCCTGGAAGTGTCAGAGCAGGAGCGTTGACGTAGCCGGTGCCCGGGGGGCTCTGGATGGGGCGGGGCCCGTAGGCCAGGCGGTGGCTAGCACAGACAGACTCAGGGTTTGCTTTTAATGCTAGGAAGCAGCATTAAGTGCGGCAGTTATTTTTATTAAATAATGTTGAGAGACGTGTCATCATTTACAAGAATGTATCAGCCTTTTATTAAATGGAATCTTACTACTTTTCTGTTATTGTACATTTTATTCCCAAAGTCCACTTTTAATTATGCTTTGGGGGATTCATTTTTTTTCCTATAAATTTGTTTTAATTCCTGAACGAGCTGCCTGAAATGAGAGCACTGGTATTAGGAAGATGTGCTTCCACTTCATAGTCCGTCTTAGTGTTCCAAGGCCTTTGGCTGTTGGAGAATATCTCTTTCTTTCAGTCATCAATGCCAGGGCAGCCTAAAAACTCTTAAGGAGTGGTTTTTGGTGTAAAAAGAATGTCTGGTCATTTCTTTTTATGCAACAAAAGACTCATAGTACAACAGAAACCCGAGTTCTATCAGCTAATTAATTAGAATAGTGCTGTTGGTCTGCTTAAGACTCTTCAGATGACGCTGCATGGTTTTTGCATAGAGGGAGAGGAATAGTAAATAGCATTACTAATTAATCTTCTTCTGCTCCTCAAGTGTTTGTGTGTGGGAGTCAAGACTCATTAAGCCGCCGTTGGCTATGGAGAGAGAAGAGAGACCCTTCCTCCACCACCAATCCTAAGTTTCTTCTCCGGAGCGGGACGGCCAGCTCTTGGCGCAGGGCTGCAGTCAGTGGCAGCCAGGCCCAGCAGTTCTGGCTCCCCGGCCCTTGCTGAGACACTGGGGTCTCTGAGGCAGGTGAAGGAGAGAGCGGGGCTGACTGCAGCCCGTGGCCGCCTGCTTCAGGCTCTCCCAAGCAGTGGGGTCTGTTCACGTAAAGTGACTAGCCTTTCTCTCTTCTCGAGTCGAGGGCCTCCCAGCGGCCTTCCATAGTCCCTCAACAAATGTTCCTTAAGAGCTTGTTGTGGGCAAGGCGCTGTTCCGATGCTGTCAGTCAAGGCCACCAGCAGGCCACAACACAGACAGACCAGCTCCAAGTCCGCCTGGAGCTGAGGTTGTAGCGGCGAGACTAGTGGTAGACATGCTCCGAGCTGGAGAGGCCGTGGGCACGTGAGTTGTACAGGATGTGAGCGGGAGAACCGCGCTGGGGGCGTCGGCGCGGCCAGGCCGAGGGGCGTCCTCTCCCCCCGTCTTCACTTGTTTCAAAGTTGGGGGCACAACTCAGGATCAGGTCGGTGGGAGGCGATCACCCAGGTGAAGTCTGGGCCTCCCTTGGGCTCCGCTTCCCCTGGTTTGAGGCCAGACGCCCTTCGTGACGTCACACCCCCTCCCCCGGCCGCGTCCCACGACTGCCAAACCCGGTCTCACGGCGTCTTGGCAAGGGCTCGGGGTCCGCTGAGGAGCGAGGACGTGAGGAGCCAGCTTTTCGTTTCAGTGAGGGGTCACTGAGTGTGGTGGCCCCTGTGGGGGTCGGGAGAGTCTTCGCTGCGGTGACTGAACAGACCTGACGCAGTGAAAAGCACACGTTGCAAACGCCTGGCAGACAGCAGCCTGACCGAGGGAGCTGTGCATGCGAACGGGGGCTAGAGCCGGGGGGTGGGGGCAGCGGGACTCAGGGCCGGAGAGGGGCCAGCATGATGGGCTCTTCTCGGGGCAGGCGTGGCGCGCGGGAGCACCTGGAGCCCAGGCCTCCGGCTGGGCCCAGGGCGGGAGCCCTCTAGCGGCCGCGTGCCCACCGTGCGCTGGGTGCCGTCCACAGTGTCACGGAAACACGGCCGGCAGCCAGCAGTGCGGACTCCGCCCTCATGGAGCTTACGTGTGTGTGTGTGTGTGTGTGTGTGTGTGTGTGTGTGTGTGCGCTTTCGGGTGTGCGTGTCTGTGCACAAGTGTGCACGCACGTGTGTTCACACGTGGGCCTGGGTGCATGTGTGTGTGCATCGTGTGCGTGTGTGTGCCTGTGTGTGATGGAGGTTCTAGGGGAGAGTGGGCACGCAGCTCTGGGCATCGAGTCTGAGAAGTCCGCGAACCTCTGAGTGGGGAGGTTGAGTTAGAATCTGATTCCACGAACCTGGAGCTTCGGGAGAGCTTCCGCTTGGAGCTGAGAGGAGAGCCAGTGGCGTGCCTGCCTTTCGGCGGATTAAAGCCACGAGCCGGCTTGGCCGTCAAAGGGGCGGGAGGAGAAAGGCGGGAGGAGAAAGACGGGAGGGTCCAGGACTCGGCCACACTGGGGGCTCAGGAGAAGGAGGCAGCCAGCAGGAGGGATGGAGGAGGCGTGGTGGGTGGGGGAGGACACGGGGCCTGAGGTCTGGCCGGCTCTTGGAGGCGAGGCGGGGAGCGTCTGCACTGACAGCTTCCCCGGCTGAGGAGGAGCCAGCTGCCAGCTGAAAGGAGGACGGGGAGGGAGGGCTGGGATCTGGAGGCCAGAAGGTCTGAAGTGACTGGCCTGGCCAAGTGTGGGCATGTCGAGGTTGGCGGGTTCTGGCGGCTCTCTCCAGTCCTCCTGGTGGCAGGTCAGCCTGGGAAGACTCAGGCCAGAGCGGGGTGTTGCAGTTGGGGCCGGAGGCTCCTGGACAGACAGGCGTGGGCGCCGTGCCCGGCCATTGCGCCCTGCCCGTGCCTGTCCGGTGAGCTCTGTTACTCGCGCTATCATGGAGAGGCCACGCACCGGGCTGGTGGCTTTGTTTCCCTGCTTGAGGGGTCTCCCTCCCTCCCTCCCTCCCTCTGGCACCAGGTTTACTTGGCCACGTGGGACCATGTGGTGGGCGGCCACACGGAGTCTACAGGGCTGACAGAGGAAGGTGGGTTGTGGGGACGTCTCCACAGACCGGTGTCCAGGGCCCATGTTATCCCTGTGTTCCTTTATCCAGCCCCAGATGGGCCGCAGAGGGGAGGAGCGCCCCCCATGTCTGAAATGCTGTGCTAACTTCCTTTTTCCCTGTGTTTTCCTTTTTAGGCCCTTGATGAATTAATAAATAAAAACATGCCTCTAACCCTGATGACAATTGGCCAGCAGCACCTCTTAAATAAGTTTTATTTTGTTAAAGCATACTTTTTCATCAGTGTGGCTGCAACAATAAATTGCGTCCCAGACAGCGCATCGAGAATGCCGTATCTCGGACCTCTTGCCGACAGGAACAGACCCAACCTCCAGAGCTTGAAAGGTAGTGGCCGCTCTTCGCTTCTTTCCTTTCTCCTCTTTTCCCCGCTCCTCCCCCTCCACCCCTGTGAACCCAGGTGGCCTAGAGTGTGTTCTTCCACCAGGCTCACACAACGGCATGCATGTGCTGTGTCCAGGCGAGGCCTATCCAGCCATCCATATCCACCCACTCATGCACAACTTCTGTGGAATGCACACGGCGGAACTCCTCACTCATCTACAAAGTGGAACACTCACACTGTGTTTCCCGTGCAGGACCCCTCCCTGGGCCCACCCTGGGGCAGCTGCCGTGCTCTGGCCTGCGGTCTTGCTGTGGTATTCTAGACCCTGGCTCATGGGCCCCTCCTCCAGGGGTCACACTCACCGTGTTTCCAAGGACAGAGTATGCACTGCTGGGGCTGAGATTCAGGGGCCACAGGGCATATGCTTTTTCAACTGCAGTGGAAGCTGTTGCCTTAACAGTAGATGCTTTCCACCGTCTGGTGTGATGGTAACTATGGGTTTTTTGTTTTTTTTTTAATAGATATCCTCTATCAGGCCGAGGAATTTCTCTCCCATTCTTAGTTTGTTTAATAATTATATCGTGAACCAGTGCTGATTTTATTAAAGGCACTTTTCTGTGTCTATTGGGATGGTGATGTGTTTTTTTGTTTTTTATTCTGTTGATATGGTGTGTTACAGTAATTGATTTTTGGATGTTTAACCAACCTTACATTCTTGGGATGAGTCCCACTTGGTCATGGTTTATAATTCTTTTCACAGGTTGTTAACTGCTGTTCGCTAGTATTTTGTTGAGGATTATTGCATTCATATTCATAAGAGATGTTGGTCTGTAGTGTTGTTTTCTTGCAGTGTCTTTGTCTAATTCTGAGATCAGGGAATACTGGCCTCTGTTTTTAAAATGGAGGTTTTGTATAGGTCTGGTGAGGCCAACAGGTCAGACGACTGCCAGAGAAGCATCGCATGTTACAGTTTCCAGGGGAGACTTGCACCCCACAGCGGCAGGACACAGAGGAAAATACTGGGGTCTCTCCAGAGGCAGAGGGAGGGGGCAGAACACGAGCTTTTATATGGCTTCTGGGCGAAGGGGTGGGTGGGGCAGGGCAGACAGCTTAGTATTGGCTCACTTCAACAATTCCAGTGGGCTCTGGGGTGCAGGGGCTGCACTAGTCCTCTGACACTGGGCAGACTGGGCGGATTAGGCAGGAAAGAGTGGCCTAGAGCTTGAGAGCAGTAGAGGAGGTGGTGGGGTGGGCTCTGGACTGGCAAGTTGGCACATGGAAGGGATGCTCCTGGGTGCGTCTTCACCAGGTGTGCTCCCGGGTGCATCTTCTGCTGTCTCTAGGAGCTGGCCAACCCCGGCAGGCAGGGACAGTCTTTTTAGGATCAGCAAGGCCCAGACGTTGAAGTGTCGTCAATACAGACAATAGAAAGGCAAGATTAATGCAGCCTCATAGGAAGAGTTGGGATGCATTTCTTTTGTGTCTTGGGAGAGTTTGTGAAGACTTATATTAGTCTTTAAATATTTGGTAGAATCCAGCAGTGAAGCCATATGGCCTGTACTTTTATATTTGTGAGTAGTTTTTTTTAGCCAATTCAATCTCTGTACTTGTACATCTCTTAAAATTGTCTATTTGTTGACTCAGATTCAGTGGTTTGCGTATTTCTAGGAATTTGTCCATTTCATCTGCGTTATCTAATGTATTGGCATACTGTTGTTCCTGGTTTTCCTTTATGATCTTTTAAAAAATTCTGTCAGGTCGGTAGCCATGTCTCCTCCTTTATTTCCAGTTGCAGTGATTTTCGTCTCCTCTCTTTTTTCTTTCTTGGTCCGGCTAGAGGTTAGTCAGTTTTGTTAGCTTCCTCTATTGTTTTTCTAGTCTCTATCTTATTGATACCTGTTGCAATCTCTTCGGTTTTCTTTGTTCACTCACCCTTATGAGTGGGGAAAGGATTAGAGGGGTCCCCAGGTTCTCAGTATTGCTGTGCTCACGATAGAGCCCCCATCCCACACGTCAGGGCTGGTGGAAGGAGGGGTCCATATCTTCCGAGTTGCACCTGGCTGGAGTGGATTTTTCCACCTCACTGAGCCAGCAGGAGCAGAGAGGGAGCTGTCTCTCTCTGGATGCCACAGCGGGTGCCTTTCTTGCCACATGTTAGTAGAGTCTCCTGCCTAGATGCTGACTCTCTCTGTGGGGACCTAGCATCCTTTGCAGAGAAGGTCAGCGTTTAAGTAGCAGGACCTCCTGCTGAGTTAGTACAGTGGGTTCTTGGAGCTCTTCCTGTGGTCCTGCCAGAAGCTGGTCCCCTGAACAGTGTGTCTTTGAGACTTACCTACATCAATGTTTGTAGCTGCAGTTCCTCTGTTTTCACTTTATTTCTTGATTGTACTGATGGCCAGCATTTAGACAGGTTTCTGGGTTTTTGCTTACTTAAGAACAATACTGCTGGCTGCCCTCTTGAGTGTGTCTCTGCGTCCTTCCGAGTGAGAGCTTCTCACAGCCGGGAATGGAGCTGCTGTATCACGGCTGACGTCACGCTGCGTGTGAGTGTCTGACTCTCTGCTGAGGCCACTGGGCTGGATCGCGCCTTCCCGTTTACATAATTTGACTGATTTAGGCTTCAGTCTTATCTTTTTTATCAACTTGATAGTTAGACATTGTTTGTACTTTTTTTAACCTTATGATAGTTGTGGAGATTTACCTGCGTGTTTACTGTTTTCTTTGTTCTCGGTTGCTCACACATGTCAGGTCGACTTTGGCTATCTTCTTACTTTTCCCTGAGGTTATATATACTTTGGAAGTTTAGATGAATAGCTAGTTGTGTCGTTACCGTGTATTTTCAAGGATCCAGTCTTTCCTCACTGAAACAAGAAATCCATTATATAATAAATTCAAATGCATACGAAAATGCGATTCTTTTTTCATTTTACAATTTTTAAGGTTGATACATAATAATTATACAAACTTACAGTATACCTGTGTTCTTTTGATACACACATACACTGTGTAAACCAATCAGGGTAACTGGGATTCTCATTCTTCAAACATCTATAATTTCTTTGTCCCGGGACCATTGCGGTCTTCTCCTGTGGTGCTTCTGAAACACTATAAATTCTCATTCGCTACAGTCATTCTCCTGGGCTATCAAGCACTCCCTGCCTCAGCTGGCCCCTGGACTCATGGTGTCCCGAGTCAGAGAGCGCCGGGTGGGCTAGGAGGGGAAGCTCCATGTGGGTTTAGAATTCTTCCCGTTCGACGCCCTGGTCTCCATGTGTGGCATTTTTGGCATGATGTCTAGCCAGGTGACTGAGGTATCCCTCCCTCCCGCGACTGGAAGCCAGGCTGCCTGAACAGGCGGAGGCTGATCTCCGTCCTCCCACTCAACGCTGGCCGAGGACGGGCAGGCTCGATTGCAGGTGGGAGCGGGACGGGGCCACGTGGCATTGCAGCCTGTGCAGCTCCAAGCGGCCCCCTCTGTTCTCAGCCTGGCGGCTCGTGTGTGTCAGCAGCTCTGCTGCTTCCAAGGAGACTTTACGGACATGTTGGGAGCATGTGGGAGACCCCAGATACTTCGAGGGCCCTACGGGGACCAGGAAAGGCGCCGCGGCTCAGTCGCCGAGACCTCTGGCGGCATGGCTGAGTGGCCAAGACCCTTCGGGTTGTCCGGCTTGGAGGGATCAGCCTCCAAACCCTGAGGGTGCATGGTGCCTCGGGACACTTGGCACGGAAACACACTTCTTGTGACCCCTGTGCTGGCTTTTGTCATCAAACTCACGGGTCGTTTCCCACGAATGACACGTTCTAAAAAACAGTAACTGATTTTTAAACTAACCACAGACATCCTTGATTCTTCCTCTATTTTGTCTCCACAGAGCTGTATTCCAAGGAGGACAGGGGTTCATTCTGCCAGTTCACCAGAGCCAGGAATGAGTCCATCCTGAGCACCCTGAAGGCGAGTCCAGTCGGGGTTCCCAGCCTCAGTAGGTCAGCCGCCACAGGGCGCCCTCGGGCCCAGGCAGGTGTTCTGGGCCATGCTCACCCGAGGGGGGCCGGGTGCCCTTCCCAGCGTAAAACCGCATGGGGCCGGAGTGGGGTGTACTCCCCAAGAGATAGGTGGGTGCTCTGGGGTGGGTCTTTGACTGGAGAAGCTATTGAGGTGCTTCAGAAAATGGGTCATGATGTGTGGGACCAGGTGCTTCTCGCTTCCTGGGAGCAGAGGTGACAACAGCAACTTCTGCCACACCCAGTGCCATGTTCTTTAACCGTGACACCAAATCACCCCGTATCTGTGTGCTTCCACGGCTCTGCACACCTAAGCCTTTAGAGACCTGTTGCTTGGAAGATCAGCGGTTCGCTTTCCTTGGGCCGCGTCAGTTGCATTTCTGTTGACTGTCTGCTGTAAAATCTCATCTTCACATGACCAAGAGGCAATTGCCGTTTAACTTGAAATACAGTTGGTCCTTGTTATTCTTGGATTCTGTGTTTACGAGTTTAACGGTCTGCTAAAATGAATTTGTCACCTCAGAGTTGAGACTCAGCACTTCTCAGTTATTCATGGACACGCCAGAGCGTAGGAGACTCTGAGGTGGCCAGTGCGTGCATCCCAGCTGGGGTGGATGCGGTGATGCTCTGCCTTCCTGTTTGGGCTCTCATGCTGTAAGCAAGAGTCTGTTTCATGGTCCTGAGCTCCATATCACACTTTTTGCAATTTTGTGGGTGGTTTTGATATTAAAATGACCCTTGAGCATGGTGTGAAGCTCCACCTTGCATTTCTATGTGCACGAAGGCTGCAATACGCCTGTAGAGAAAGCACGTGTGTCCACAATGCGCTGTTCACGCAAGCGTGGTTGGCTGAGTTCAAGACTCAGCAGTAGGTATTAAACAATGCATCTTCAGACACAAAACGCATCCAGCAAGGCCCGGTTTTGAACAGCTGAGCAAAATGCTGTGCCCGGAGGCGTGCAGGGGCTCAGCTCTGTCTGTCCCTGGGAGCTGTGGTCCAGTGTTCACTACTCAGTGTCTGTGGCAATTCCTCGAACGTCACCACCATGAGTAAAGAGCTTGGCTGTGCACACTGTAGAGGCCACGTGTGCACATGTGCGCGTGCCAGTTCTTTCCCTGGCATTTTCCACCACCATTCCCCTGCTCACTGAGCTTTCTTCTCCGACGAGTAGGAACAGATCTCCCGTCCACTGCTACTTTTCGGTACATGGGAAATATCTGATATGGAGAGGGACGTTTCGTATGTCATCCCAAGCTTAGCAACATATGTGTCCCCCACAGGCGGTCTTGCTGACAGAAGCTGAAGAGCAACTCAACACCCTGGTGTCAGAGCTGGAGCAGCCGGGGTGTGGGAGTCTGGCCAAGTGCACCGCCAGGGAGCTGGAGGTTATGGTGCGGGCCCAGCTACAACTGGCTGCCGTGGCCCTGCAGAGACACCGTGCGGCCTACAGGTGTGTTCCCGCACAGGTGGGATGGGGAGGGGGCTGGGGGGTGGGGTG